GCGCGGCCCGCTGCTCCCGAAGGGCCGCGCTCGCGAGGGGACTGGGCGGCGGCGCCAGCGCCCTGCCTCTGCAGCCAAGTTCGAAGCCTGCTCCTGCAGGTTCAACGGGCGCTGGGGTATCGGATTTCCCCGCTGGGGTTCACCTGGCTGCAGACACCCTTCGAATCCTGAGCTCCAGCAGTTTTTTTTGTTTTGTTCTTCCCCCCGGAAGCGGCATAGGGCATAGGCCCAGGGTTCTCTTTTAGCAGGTCAGCCTGTCCCCAGTGCCAAGTTCGAAGAGGGCTGGCGGATTAATTTTTGAGGACGTCCCGAATGAAACAGTACTTTCTGAAATCCGATCGATAAAACACGTGGTGAAGTGACACTTTTCGTTTGTTGCGGATGTCTCAAGCGAAACGTTTCGTTAGCAGAGTTTGTTCAGGATGTCTCGAGCGAAACGCTTTTTGGTGTTATAGATTGCTCCTCTCCTGGGGGGAAGAATTCAGATGATGTCTCAGGCGAAATGCTTGTTGTCACGCGCCCAGGTCGCCCAGGGGGGTATCTAACATGGTTGTCCCCAGATGTGACCTGTTCCCACGTGTCCAGGCCGCCCAGGGGGTGTCTAAGATGGTGGTTCCGAGCTGGAACTGCGTGTTTTTACATGCCCAGGCTACCCAATGGGGTATCCAACATGGTTACCCCTAGCTGGAACCACGTGTTATACGTGGCCAGACCACAGAGGGGTATCTAACATGGTGGTCCCGAGCTGGAACCACACGTTTTCGCCCCCCAGCGTGGGGGCCCACAAGAGTCGGACAACATCGATACAGCGACACCACATTCGGAATAATCTGACACTGTTTCTTCGACGGGTGATGTTCTGATTTCCCCCTGGGGTATCTAACATTGTGGTTCCTAGCCGGAACCACATGTTCTATTCTCACTTGTCCAGGCAACCCAGAGCGGTATCGAACATGGTGGCCTCGAGCTGGAGCCACGTGTTTTCACGTGTTCAGGCCATCAACGTGGATTTGTAACATGGTAACCCCGAGTTGGAACTATTGTTCTTGCGTTTCCAGGCCACCCAGAGGTGTATCGAACATGGTGGTCCTGAGCTGCAGCCGCGTGTTTTTACGTGTCCAGGCCGCCCAGGGTGGAGTATCTAAGATGGTTGCCTCTTGCCCCTCGGTGGGACCACGTGTTTTCATGTGTCCAGGCCACCCAGAGAGGTATCTGACATGGTGGCCCCGAGCTGGAACCACCTGTTTTCACGTGTCCGCCGCCGCCTCCCCCGTCGGCGGGGCCAGCTGCGCCACTCGCTCCAGGTGTGACCCGTCCCCCTGAACGGCCCTTGCCCCCCCTCTCCTTCCTCTGCCGCCCTCCCTATCCCCTTCCATTTTCCTGCATGGTGGCGCAATTCGCTTCAACGGTATCCCCGTTGTCATTGCTTGTCCGCCAGCGCAGTTGCTCTGCCTAGCCGCCGACGTAAAAACAGTTTTCACGTGTCCAGTTCGCCCAGAGGTGTATCGAACATGGTGGTCCCGAGCTAGAGCCAAGTGCTTTTCACGTGTGCGGGCCACCCTAGTGCGGGATCTAATATGTGGCCGCCTGGGCGCTCACAGCATGGAGGCGCACGAGAGCCACATATAATTACTACAGCGTGACTACTGATGCAAGGACTAGGGTATGATCTTTACTGCAAGGCCTGAGTACTACCACAGACTACATCTACAGTGCTGCCACTTCATAAATGCAGTACTACTACTGGCTTACCGTGGTATTATAGTACCACGCGTGCAGTATTCGAACACTACTACTGACATGCTACTGCTGCAGTACTGTTCTTACGACTAGTAGAGTACCACCGCTGCAGCACTACAGTATCATAATACTACAGCGCTGCTGCGATACTACGGCATCCGGGAATTCCTAGTGCAGTGCTGTAGTACACTCACTGCAGACAACCATTTAATATTATTCATACGAATACTTTACCAGCGTACTGCTTCTACGGTGCCACTGCTACAACAGTATATCACTATTCCACAATAGTACATCAATTTTCCTCCAACGCTACAACTCAATCATTTGAGCTGGAGGATACTACGGCTGTGCTCGGGTAATTCATTAACGGGCTACTTATATTGTAATACTGCAGTGCGACTATTCGAGGAAGTAGTAGAGTATGACCTTTGCTGCAAGACCTGAGCAGTACTACCGCTACAACTACAGGGCTACTATAGTGCTGCCATTTCATTAATGCAGCGACGGTGTGATAATACCATGGGTACAACATTAGAGTACTACTACTGCAGTGCTGCTGCTACAGTACTGTTCTACGACTTGTAGACTGCACCGCTACAACACTATAGTACTATAGTGTTACAACAGTGCTGCGATACGGTGGCATTTGACTATTCTTATTCCAAAAATGTAGTACCCTCATTGCAGGCAGTGGTCGCGTACATTTCTTACGAGTATTCGAGTAATGCTTCAATACTTCTACAGTGCCACATCTACAACAGGACAGCACGATTCCACAATCGTACAGCACAGTCCTCCAGCATTACCGTGAAAGCAGTGCAGTTCAAGCATATTATTACTATTGTACTCGAGTGCTGCAGTAGTGGGCTATTTTTTTCTACAGTACCACTACAACTACAGGGCTACTACAGTGCAGCCACATCATTAATGCAGTACTTCGCTGGCATGTCTGGAATGTTGCAGTAGTAGACTATTAAGAGTATTACAATACTACTGTACAGTTGCTGCGACAGTCAGTACTGAAGCACTGCTACCACAATAAAGAGTATTGCTACCACGTGCTATTGCGGTACTGTTTGTACAGAGCTGTAGCACTATAATTTTAGTATTGTAGCACCCTCCTGCATCTGAGGGTCATGGAAGGGGATGGGGAAGAGGAAGGATGAGGGGCCTCCCCACTGTTCCCCCCGCCTCTCCTCCCTTCTCCCTCCTAGGTCTTGGGGAAAAGCTTGGGGAGGGTGGAAACGCAATGCAATACAGCGCAATTCGATGCAACGCAATGCAATGCAATGCAATGCAGAGCGATTGCAGAGCCGCGCCAATGCAATGCCGTTGCACTGCGATGCAATGCGATCGCAATGCGATTGCAATGCAATGCGATTGCGCTATAATGCCAAGGCAGTGCGATTGCAATGCTGGGGGAGGGATGGTGGTGGACAGGACCTTCCCTCTCCCCTTCGTGCTGGTGCTGTTGGATGGGGGGGGAGGACATTTTTTGTCCCGGAAAGGGCGCGGGCCCAGATTTCTCTTTCAGTTTTGTTTCCCCCCTGGTTTCGGCTGGCGAAATGATGTGCGATAAATAACGAGGTCGCGTAGGGATGTCGAACTTATGTTTGTCTCGAGCGGAACGTTTTTTTTTTGTTTTTGTTTTTGTTTTTTTTGTTTTGTTTTCTCTTCCCCCCCAACCCTCCTACGTTGGGTTCTCGTTTTGAATAGAGCACTGCTCGCGCGTCGCCTTCCTCACTTCCTTCCTTCCTTCCTTCCCGCCCCCTCCCGCCCCTCTCTTCCCCCTTGCCTTTCGCCTCGCTCGTCGCTGCGTGCCAGCTGGGGGGCTGCGATCTGTGACACTGTCGCCACTTTCGAGGCCTGCTGGGGGGCCCAGCACAGTGGGTACCCACCGCGGCTGGGGGCTGCGATCTGTGCAACGGTCGCCACTTTCGAGGGCTGCTGGGGGGCACAGCACAGTCTGCACTCACGGCGGATTCAAATTAGACCTCGCCATCCCTGGGGGGCTGCGATCTGCGAAACTGTCGCCACTTTCGAGGCCTGCTGGGGGGGCCAGCACAGTCTGCACCCGCGGCGGATTCAAAGTAGACCTCGCCATCCCTGGGGGGCTGCGATCTGCGAAACTGTCGCCACTTTCGAGGCCTGCTGGGGGGCCCAGCACAGTCTCCACCCCCGGCGGATTCAAAGTAGACCTCGCCATCCCTGGGGGGCTGCGATCTGCGAAACTGTCGCCACTTTCGAGGCCTGCTGGGGGGCCCAGCACAGTCTGCACTCGCGGCGGATTCAAATTAGACCTCGCCATCCCTGGGGGGCTGCGATCTGCGAAACTGTCGCCACTTTCGAGGGCTGCTGGGGGGCCCAGCGCAGTCTGCACCCGCGGCGGATTCAAAGTAGACCTCGCCATCCCTGGGGGGCTGCGATCTGCGAAACTGTCGCCACTTTCGAGGCCTGCTGGGGGGCCCAGCACAGTCTGCACCGCGGCAGACTCAAATGAGACCTCGCCATCCCTGGGGGGCTGCGATCTGTGAAACTGTCGCCACTTTCGAGGGCTGCTGGGGGGCCCAGCACAGTCTGCACCCGCGGCGGACTCAAATTAGACCTCGCCATCCCTGGGGGGCTGCGATCTGCGAAACTGTCGCCACTTTCGAGGCCTGCTGGGGGGCCCAGCACAGTCTGCACCCGCGGCGGACTCAAATGTGACCTCGCCATCCCTGGGGGGCTGCGATCTGCGAAACTGTCGCCACTTTCGAGGCCTGCTGGGGGGCCCAGCACAGTCTGCACCCGCGGCGGACTCAAATGGGACCTCGCCATCCCAGCACAATCACCCGCGGCGGACTCAAATGTGACCTCGCCACCCCTGGGGGGCTGCGATCTGTGAAACTGTCGCCACTTTCGAGGCCTGCTGGGGGGCCCAGCACAGTGTGCACCCGCGGCGGATTCAAATGGGACCTCGCCATCCCTGGGGGGCTGCGATCTGTGAAACTGTCGCCACTTTCGAGGCCTGCTGGGGGGCCCAGCACAGTGGGTACACACGGCTGACTCAAATTAGACATCGCCACCCCTGGGGGGCTGCGATCTGCGAAACTGTCGCCACTTTCGAGGGCTGCTGGGGGGCCCAGCACAGTGGGTACCCACGGCGGACTCAAATGTGACCTCGCCATCCCTGGGGGGCTGCGATGTGTGAAACTGTCGCCACTTTCGATGCCTGCTGGGGGGCCCAGCACAGTGGCTACCCACGGCGGGCTCAAATG